AAGGGACAGAGAGGGGAGAAAGGACAGAGAGGGGAGAGAGGACAGAGAGGGGAGAAAGGACAGAGAGGGGAGAGAGGACAGAGAGGGGAGAAAGGACAGAGAGGGGAGAAAGGACAGAGAGGGGAGAAAGGACAGTGAGGGGAGAAAGGACAGAGAGGGGAGAGAGGACAGAGAGGGGAGAGAGGACAGAGAGGGGAGAGAGGACAGAGAGGGGAGAAAAGACAGAGAGGGGAGAGAGGACAGAGAGGGGAGAGAGGACAGAGGGGGGAGAAAGGACAGAGAGGGGAGAAAGGACAGAGAGGGGAGAAAGGACAGAGAGGGGAGAAAGGACAGAGAGGGGAGAAAGGACAGAGAGGGGAGAAAGGACAGAGAGGGGAGAAAGGACAGAGAGGGGAGAAAGGACAGAGAGGGGAGAAAGGACAGAGAGGGGGAGAAAGGACAGAGAGGGGAGAAGGACAGAGAGGGGAGAGAGGACAGAGAGGGGAGAGAGGACAGATGAGGGGAGAGAGGACAGAGAGGGGAGAAAAGACAGAGAGGGGAGAGAGGACAGAGAGGGGAGAGAGGACAGAGGGGGGAGAAAGGACAGAGAGGGAGAAAGGACAGAGAGGGGAGAAAGGACAGAGAGGGGAGAAAGGACAGAGAGGGGAGAAAGGACAGAGAGGGGAGAAAGGACAGAGAGGGGAGAGAGGACAGAGAGGGGGGAAAGGACAGAGAGGGGAGAGAGGACAGAGAGGGGAGAAGGACAGAGAGGGGAGAGAGGACAGAGAGGGGAGAGAGGACAGAGAGGGGAAGAAAGGACAGAGAGGGGAGAAAGGACAGAGAGGGGAGAAAGGACAGAGAGGGGAGAAAGGACAGAGAGGGGAGAAAGGACAGAGAGGGGAGAAAGGACAGAGAGGGAGAGAGAGAGACAGAGAGGGGGGAAAGGACAGAGAGGGGAGAGAGGACAGAGAGGGGAGGAAAGGACAGAGAGGGGAGAGAGGACAGAGAGGGGAGAGAGGACAGAGAGGGGAGAAAGGACAGAGAGGGGAGAAAGGACAGAGAGGGGAGAAAGGACAGAGAGGGGAGAAAGGACAGAGAGGGGAGAAGGACAGAGAGGGAGAAGGACAGAGAGGGGAGAAAGGACAGAGAGGGGAGAGAGGACAGAGAGGGGGGAAAGGACAGAGAGGGGAGAGAGAGGACAGAGAGGGGAGAAAGGACAGAGAGGGGAGAGAGGACAGAGAGGGGAGAGAGGACAGAGAGGGGAGAAAGGACAGAGAGGGGAGAAAGGACAGAGAGGGGAGAAAGGGACAGAGAGGGAGAAAGGACAGAGAGGGGAGAAAGGACAGAGAGGGGAGAGAGGACAGAGAGGGGAGAAAGGACAGAGAGGGGAGAAAGGACAGAGAGGGGAGAAAGGACAGAGAGGGGAGAAAGGACAGAGAGGGGAGAAAGGACAGAGAGGGGAGAAAGGGACAGAGAGGGGGAAAGGACAGAGAGGGGAGAGAGGACAGAGAGGGAGAAAGGACAGAGAGGGGAGAGAGGACAGAGAGGGGAGAGAGGACAGAGAGGGGAGAAAGGACAGAGAGGGGAGAAAGGACAGAGAGGGGAGAAAGGACAGAGAGGGGAGAAAGGACAGAGAGGGGAGAAAGGACAGAGAGGGGGAAAGGACAGAGAGGGGAGAGAGGACAGAGAGGGGAGAAAGGACAGAGAGGGGAGAGAGGACAGAGGGGGGAGAAAGGACAGAGAGGGGAGAAAGGACAGAGAGGGGAGAAAGGACAGAGAGGGGAGAAAGGACAGAGAGGGGGGAAAGGACAGAGAGGGGAGAAAGGACAGAGAGGGGAGAAAGGACAGAGAGGGGAGAAAGGACAGAGAGGGGAGAAAGGACAGAGAGGGGAGAAAGGACAGAGAGGGGGGAAAGGACAGAGAGGGGAGAGAGGACAGAGAGGGGAGAAAGGACAGAGAGGGGAGAGAGGACAGAGAGGGGAGAGAGGACAGAGAGGGGAGAAAGGACAGAGAGGGGAGAAAGGACAGAGAGGGGAGAAAGGACAGAGAGGGGAGAAAGGACAGAGAGGGGAGAAAGGACAGAGAGGGGGGAAAGGACAGAGAGGGGAGAGAGGACAGAGAGGGGAGAAAGGACAGAGAGGGGAGAGAGGACAGAGGGGGGAGAAAGGACAGAGAGGGAGAAAGGACAGAGAGGGGAGAAAGGACAGAGAGGGGAGAAAGGACAGAGAGGGGAGAAAGGACAGAGAGGGGAGAAAGGACAGAGACGGGAGAAAGGACAGAGAGGGGAGAAAGGACAGAGAGGGGAGAAAGGACAGAGAGGGGAGAAAGGACAGAGAGGGGAGAAAGGACAGAGAGGGGAGAAAGGACAGAGAGGGGAGAGAGGACAGAGAGGGGAGAAAGGACAGAGAGGGGAGAAAGGACAGAGAGGGGGGAAAGGACAGAGAGGGGAGAAAGGACAGAGAGGGGAGAAAGGACAGAGAGGGGAGAAAGGACAGAGAGGGGAGAAAGGACAGAGAGGGGGAAAGGACAGAGAGGGGAGAGAGGACAGAGAGGGGAGAAAGGACAGAGAGGGGAGAGAGGACAGAGAGGGGAGAGAGGACAGAGAGGGGAGAAAGGACAGAGAGGGGAGAAAGGACAGAGAGGGGAGAAAGGACAGAGAGGGGAGAAAGGACAGAGAGGGGAGAAAGGACAGAGAGGGGGGAAAGGACAGAGAGGGGAGAGAGGACAGAGAGGGGAGAAGGACAGAGAGGGGAGAAAGGACAGAGAGGGGAGAAAGGACAGAGAGGGGAGAAAGGACAGAGAGGGGAGAAAGGACAGAGAGGGGAGAAAGGACAGAGAGGGGAGAAAGGACAGAGAGGGGGGAAAGGACAGAGAGGGAGAGAGGACAGAGAGGGGAGAAAGGACAGAGAGGGGAGAGAGGACAGAGAGGGGAGAGAGGACAGAGAGGGGAGAAAGGACAGAGAGGGGAGAAAGGACAGAGAGGGGAGAAAGGACAGAGAGGGGAGAAAGGACAGAGAGGGGAGAGAGGACAGAGAGGGGAGAAAGGACAGAGAGGGGAGAAAGGACAGAGAGGGAGAAAGGACAGAGAGGGGAGAAAGGACAGAGAGGGGGGAAAGGACAGAGAGGGGAGAAAGGACAGAGAGGGGAGAAAGGACAGAGAGGGGAGAAAGGACAGAGAGGGGAGAAAGGACAGAGAGGGGAGAAAGGACAGAGAGGGGAGAGAGGACAGAGAGGGGAGAGAGGACAGAGAGGGGAGAAAGGACAGAGAGGGGAGAAAGGACAGAGAGGGGAGAAAGGACAGAGAGGGGGGAAAGGACAGAGAGGGGAGAGAGGACAGAGAGGGGAGAAAGGACAGAGAGGGGAGAGAGGACAGAGAGGGAGAGAGGACAGAGAGGGGAGAAAGGACAGAGAGGGGAGAAAGGACAGAGAGGGGAGAAAGGACAGAGAGGGGAGAGAGGACAGAGAGGGGAGAAAGGACAGAGAGGGGAGAAAGGACAGAGAGGGGAGAAAGGACAGAGAGGGGGGAAAGGACAGAGAGGGGAGAAAGGACAGAGAGGGGAGAGAGGACAGAGAGGGGAGAGAGGACAGAGAGGGGAGAGAGGACAGAGAGGGGAGAAAGGACAGAGACGGGAGAAAGGACAGAGAGGGGAGAAAGGACAGAGAGGGGAGAAAGGACAGAGAGGGGAGAAAGGACAGAGAGGGGAGAAAGGACAGAGAGGGGAGAAAGGACAGAGAGGGGAGAAAGGACAGAGAGGGGAGAAAGGACAGAGAGGGGAGAAAAGACAGAGAGGGGAGAGAGGACAGTGCCATGGCCTTGTCTCTCGACTCAACCATCCCCCCCTCCAGTGGTGGAAACGAGGACAGAGCAGTCAGGGGGCAGCATGGCAGCCCCTCCCGTGCCCTTCTCACTCCACTCAGTGGTCCGTATCACCAGAAAAGAGGGAAGAGAGGAAAAAGAGAGGAGGATAGAGAGGGGGAAAGAGAGGAGGGAAGAGAGGAGGGAAGAGAGGAGGGAAGAGAGGAGGGAAGAGAGGAGGGAAGAGAGGAGGGAAGAGAGGGGAAAGAGAGGAGGGGAGAGAGGAGGAAAGAGAGGAACGAAGAGAGGAGGGAAGAGAGGATGGAAGTGAGAAGGGAAGAGAGGAGGGAAGAGAGGAGGGAAGAGAGGAGGGAAGAGAGGAGGGAAGAGAGGAGGGAAGAGATGAGGGAAGAGAGGAGGGAAGAGAGGAGGGAAGAGAGGAGGGAAGAGAGGAACGAAGAGAGGAGGGAAGAGAGGAGGGAAGTGAGGAACGAAGAGAGGAGGGAAGAGAGGAACGAAGAGAGGAGGGAAGAGAGGAGGGAAGAGAGGAGGGAAGAGAGGAGGGAAGAGAGGGGGAAAGAGAGGAGGGGAGAGAGGAGGAAAGAGAGGAACGAAGAGAGGAGGGAAGAGAGGAGGGAAGTGAGAAGGGAAGAGAGGAGGGAAGAGAGGAGGGAAGAGAGGAGGGAAGAGAGGAGGGAAGAGAGGAGGGAAGAGATGAGGGAAGAGAGGAGGGAAGAGAGGAGGGAAGAGAGGAGGGAAGAGAGGAACGAAGAGAGGAGGGAAGAGAGGAGGGAAGTGAGAAGGGAAGAGAGGAGGGAAGAGAGGAACGAAGAGAGGGGGGAAGAGAGGAACGAAGAGAGGAGGGAAGAGAGGAGGGAAGAGAGGAGGTCAGGGCGGTCAGAGGTCAGCCTGCTGCCAGCCCCTCTGGTGCCAAGAGCTCGCCGAGTGTCGTCAGCACGGCAGTGAGAGGTGGCACTTTCCTTTCCCACAGGGCATACTCACGGAGGCGCCAGGGAATGCAACCGCACCCGCATGCCCAACATCCCCGTAAAACCCTACACCCTGAACTCCAAACCTCGGAAACCCCTTCCCTGGGATACTAAAACCCTGAATCTCGCTACGCTCACCTCCTTGAGCCTCCGCGCGAGGCGGTACAGCCCCGCGGCCTTGCTGGGCTTGCCCTGCTCCTGAACCCCAACTCCTCAAAACCCCACGCCCCGAGCCTTTACCCGTTACCCCAACAACATTCGTCCCTTACCTCCTTGAGCCTCCGCGCCAGCCTATACAACTCCGCCGCCTTGTCGGGCTTTCCCTGCTCCTCAAACTCGCGCGCGCGCAGCTTGGCGCGCGCGAAGAAGTGCGGGCGGATGCGCGCCCACTCGGCGCTGAAGGCGAGCAGCAGGCGCCACTGCGCGGGCTCGGGCTTCTCCACCCAGAACACGTCCACCAGCCGGTCGCACACGCGCGACATCTTAAACCCCGCCTCCACCTCGGGATCGTCGCCCTCCTCTTCCTCTCCTCTCTCTGCTTTCTCTTCTTTCTTTCCTTCCTCCTCTTTCTTCTCCTCCTTATCCGTCTCCTTCTCTTGCTGCCCCGCGACCTCCGCTTTCGCCTGATTCGGCGCTTTCTCCCTCTCTACCTTCCCACCGGCATCTCTCCCCCTCTCTGCGCCCCTGCCTTCCCCTCTCTCCTCCTCCTGCGACGTTCGCTCCTCGTCCACTGCCGCTTGTAGAGGTTTGGAGGTTTCTACACTCGTTACAGAGCCGGAATCGGAGAGTGCGCGTACGCGATGTAGGGGAAACCGATGCGACGACGAGGCCGAGGGAATGGGAGGGGCCGGAGCGAGCGTGGCGCAGGAATCTCTTAGAGCGCCACTCAATAACGAGGATCCAGGCTCCCTCAACGGGCTGCTAACGTCACACGGGCCTGAATCGGACAACGGACGCTGAGCGGAACGTAAACTGAATCCAGATAGACGGAATCCAGAAAAACGGAATCCAGGCGGACAAGAACCTATGCTGACGTGTACAGCGCCAGCTGGCCTAAGCTGCTGCATACGCTCCTGGCTTCTACTCGAGTTCACGATCGCGGGCGCTGCGTTGCCCGGCTGTGCTGGAGCCCGATAGGCCGAGAATCGTAGAGCGAAGTCTGTCGCCATCACTACGAAACGGAAAAGACAGAACAGGAAGGAAACGAAGAGGCAACAAGGGAAATAGTCCTATCGCGTTACACGTCACGACAAATTACGAATCTGTCGCGAAAGTGGCGCGCGAAACCGACTCGATGCGTGCACCGGCGACGAGCGATCTGACGGCAGTCTCGAGCAATGTACCGAGTGAGAGGCGCAGCAGTAACAGCCGTCCAAGCGGAAGCTTGTGGAAGGTGGGATGATGGAAGCTTGAGCAAGTAATCGGAGGGAATGACGGACCGCCCTGGTTTCGGCTTTCCGATTCCTTTCAGCAGTGGTTTTGACACCGCCTTGCTTTGCGCTCGATTCCGATACCTTCGGTCAGTTTTTTACGCTATTGCCCCTTTTCGAGTCCAGAGACTAATATTGTCTTTATTTATCGGGCTAGCATAAATTTAATTGTCGCGTCAATTACGAGAAGCTCGGGACAAAAAATTTCCCCTCATGGAGGGCATGCCATTTGGGAGGCATCATCCCTAAACACCATGAGGCAAGGTGTCTAGGGTTGATGCCTCCCAAATGGTCAGCCATCCGAGAGGGGTTTATTCTTTCCACTGGCCGATAAACTAAAACCAGGTAAACTTCCCATTTTTTCTGGTCACAGGAAATTGGAAATGTCGAAATCAGCTGCCCCAAGGAATCGGACGCGAGCGGAGAAGCGAGGTGGTGTCAAAGCCACTACCCAAATGAATCGGAAACTTAAAAACAGGGCGATTCGTCATTTCCTCAAGTAATCGATTTGATCCGACATTCCCAAGTTTTGATTATCTCGTGGCGCTTGCAGTAATTTGAAATGACTCTGTTTGATAAAACATTTGAGTGTACATGGCTCATGTAAAACACACACGCTGGACACCCACCTTGTACTATACGTTCTGGATATAAAAAAACATTGAGTGTACATGGCTATAAGCTTCTCATAGCAAAGTTAAAGAGGATTCCTAAACGAGCAATGACATGATACAGTAATGCGAAGTACAAGCTAACCACTCTGAACAGATTCAGCATCCGAAATTTTGCGGATTAGAACCAGGAACCAAAAACATCAAACTGAAAATGGATTACTATCTACAGAGGTAGAGAATTGAGGGCTGGAAACCAAGACAACACCGAGAATGCAGTTGGTGCTCTCACGGAGCTGACAGGGCAATGCTTGCATGCCACGCTGCTGCTACTCGAGTCTAATCACAGGAGGCAGCCGCTTAGCACACACACTGTCAGCCACAGCCAGACACTGTCAGCACACCCCTAAGGCAACCTTACCCCAGCAATGCTCGTTACACACTAATATTCCCCTCCCCCCCCCACCCCCTACTACCCTGACCTGCCACTTTCCACGCACGATCCCCAAACCAAAGGTCACGATTCACAGATGTAAATCACGACGTGCTGTGGTCGGTCGGATTCCCCTTGCGCGCCCACGGGGTTCCACGCGCTCTGCATGGCGCAGTTGTTCTCGAGCGACGCCACCTTCCCCCCGCTCGTGTACCGCGCCAGCAGCTGGCTGCTGCTTCCCCACAGCTGCTGCACCTGCGCGTGCCACGCGCCCCACTGCTGCTTCTGCTGCGCCGTCTTTCCGCCCTCCGCCTCCCCCCTCGCTTGCGCCTTTCTGCCGGCGGAGCTCTGGTGCTCGAGCTCCGCCATCTCTCCGCCACTGCTCAGCGCCGGCTCGCTGCGCGTCGATAGGCTTCGATCTGATAGGCTGCTGCTCTGGGTGCTGAGCGTCGGAAGGCTCTCGCGCGCGCTTCGGCTGCCAAAATACGAGCCGTTTAGGAGCTCGCTGGCAGCGCGAGGCATTTTGGGAACGTTGATGGACGGAAGCGTCATGATTGCTCGGGTGGACGGAAGGGTGAAGCGTTCGAGACGGTGATAAGCGAAATATGCGCGGCTTGAAACGGAAACAGTTTCTGCGAGTGTACGGTTCCTCCCGAGCTTGCTTGAAAGAAAGTGTGCCTGTAACGAGGTCGAGGGAAGGGAGAGAGGGGAGAGAGAGAGGGGAGAGAATATTGAGTCGAGGAATGGTGGGAGTGAAGGGCGTGTGATGGCGGCCGCGAGTTTGACACTGGAGACTTAGCGCGCGACGCTGCGTCGAGGGCGCGAAGAAACGCTGCGATATAATGCGACGTAATTTATGGCGATGCAAGAGTGAGAAATGCGGGAGAGGTCATCATGGCGTGCAACCACGCGCTGCATATGCCCTCGAAATCGCCAGCAGTACGAAAGAGGCAGCATGAGAGAGCATTGCAGGCTGTTACCTGAACACGCGGAGATAACCAGAGCGACGTGGACGGCCTCAGAGTGTCGAGTTGCTGGCGTCACAAGTTATTGAAACTTTGTGCGAAGAACATGGGTTCTTGACATTATCATGCTCCAGCAACTAAGTCTTCTTCAGTTACTCTCTTAGCCTGTCCCTCTCGTGCCTGCTTTCCTCGCCTTCTTTTCCCCCCTTCTATCTCTACTCCCAGGCGTGTAAACTACACAAACGAGTTGTTGCTGACAGAGAGTCAGTAAAGTGAAAATAGAGTCTGTGGCTGTTTCGTTGACTTGGGATTGATTGACACAGATGGATGGCTGCTGTGCTGATGGCCTCGGTTCTCCCGGTTGATCCGTTTATGCGAAATCGGATTCCGTTGCGTCTCTGTCAAGGGCCGTGCCCGAATCACCCGCCGAGCCTGCCAGGTCGCGGCGCGGGGAGCGGAGAGAAAGCGTAAGGCTGGGGGCGTTCGGCTCGGTTGGCGAACCAGGGGCATGCCCGTGTGCCACCGAAGTTTTGGCGGCGAGTGGTAGCCACCCTACGTCAGTTTGTCTCTATTTGATAAAATTTACTCTAATGGGAACATGCGATGCAACGACATTGCCTGACGAAGTTACCGCACGCACCGAGGGCTGGCCCAGTTTTTCGCCGGTTAGGTTACGTGCAGAAAAGCAGATTTGGGCCGCAAAGCTAGGCTCGGTTGGAATAGGCCTAGACCCAAGCAAGCGTCAAACCATACGAAGCGGTATGGCGACCAAAGCACAGTGCCAAAAAGCAGCATGGCGCGGTGCGATCGGTCATCTCCGCCACAGCAGTTTCTTTTGCAAATTACGGCCAAGGGACGATGATTCAAGACTGTAACTTTTCCTTTCTTACTTCGCTCCTTACTGCTTACAAGATTGTTCCCGCCAACAGCACACAACAGTAAAACGTTACCCGCTCGCGACACTCGCCTCAACCACTGTTCCCGCCACTGTAAACCTCGCGACCCAACCTCACGGTTTGGTTGGTAACCCGCGCTCCGGCCCTCCGCCTCGACATTTCCCAACCTCGGCGCCAAGCCCATCGCACACCACACACCTCGCTCGTTACCGTTACCACGCTAGGCTTCGCTATATATTGTTTGCTCATTCCTTCGCTCATTGGACTCTTGCTTCGATAATGCAATCTTCGTTCGCTCACTCAATTGCACTCGTAACACTTGGTATTCAAAGCTACGATCCCTTCTCGGACCACGCCTACACCTTCGCTTCCCCATTATCTCAATTTCTGGAGGGGGTAGACGTCCCACAGCGACCGAGCATCGCTGCTCGTGTGCTCTCTCGTAATCACACTCAGCCACGACTGAGGCTCTCGCTGAGTTCGCCCGACAACCCCGCCATGGCCGAATTCCAGCTCGCGACGTTGACGCAAGAACGCCTCGACGAACTCGTGTGCCAACTCGAGGAATCGTCGCTCGAGATTGCGACGCTCACGGCGGAACGCGACTCCGCCCAACAGCAATCGTCGGCAAATGCACCAGCACCCGTAAATGCACCTGCACAATCGGACAAGCATTGTCATATCATTAGGGCCACCATCGCAGCACGACAGCGTGGGACATCGCTCAGGTATAGTCAGCGATGGTGCCGCCCAATCGATGCCAGGCATGGAGAGAACCAGGACCGCACCGGGCATAAATATACCACACGAGGCTCGTCTTCGCGTCAGCATCAACGCACCTGCCGGCAATAACGACATTGGTGAGCCGATGCCACTCAAGTCGCAGCGCCCGCCCTACTTCGATCCTAATCAGCATGGAGGTCCGAAGGTTCAATTGTGGATTTTCACCATGAACGTGTCAGAATCTTGAAGGAATGAATGACTGAACTAGCAAGCAGGTGGGTACAAGTAGGAAGCCTAAAAGTGTTGTACCCTATATGAACTACCCCACTACAGCCTAAACATACTATAGCATATAAGTTTGACACACCCCCATAGGCAAAGTGGGGGAGAACAAGAGGTCACAAGACCGGTCAAGAAGGGCAAAACAAGCTGAGGGTGGATCACAAAGTCACCACGCATTTTGAGCACAAACAAATGGCCACGAGGCCAGTTCACATGCAGAGTTATATAAAGGAGAACAAGCAATACAGTGATCACAACCTAGTGTGAGAATCGAGAAGGAATTGAGTGAGGAAGGATTGCACTAGAAAGCATTGGGATACATATAGCAAACCCTAACAGGGTTGTACTCACTACAGAGTACCCCACTGCAGACTAGAGAAACATAATATTCTGACACACCCCCATAGTCAAAGTGGGGTATGATCAGCACAAGAAGCAAAGCAAAGGAAGCTCAGGGTGGATCACAATGTCACCACACATTCTGAGCACAAGTACAAGAAGCAACAGTTTAAAGTTCACAAATGTAAGCAAAGCTAGAGGCTATCACAGAGGGCAAGTGAGGAGGAGGAGGCTGGACTAATAGGAAAGGAGAGAGGAGGCAATGGCGGAAGCTGCAGACACACGGGCAACAGGAGCGGCGCGCACTGTGGCTACCGGAGGCGCACCTCCGGACTACAGGAGTAACAGGCTCCGCGGCTAAGACGAGCGGCAGGAGCAACGGACCCACGTGCGACTGGCGCAGCGGCATCACTGGGCTACCGGAAGCGCACCTCCGGACTACTGGCACTGCTAGCAACACGACGGCTACCTCCACCCAACCTCCCTCTACTACCGCACCCCCCATTCACACACCCCCTGCTGCACCCCTAGGTTCACTCACACCCCACCCCCTAGCACCACGCCTTTGACTCCCACACATCCACCCCCCTCAGCGGCAGCTGCAGCAGTGGGAGACAAAGGAGGAGGAGCAGGGGATGCCACACACCCGCCACCCCCATACCCTCCCCCACTGCTGCACCTGCAGCAGGGGATGGAGGAGAAGGGGGGGGGTGCTGTGCATGGCGCGTGCAAAGGGCAGCAGGGCGCACGGGGCGCACAGGGCAGCAGGGCAGCAGGGCGCGCGGGGCGCACAGGGCTGCAGGGCGCGCGGGGCGCACAGGGCAGCAGTGCAGCAAGGCGCACGGGGCGCACAGGGCAGCAGGGCGCGCGGGGCGCAGCAGGGCTGGCGGGTTGGCCACACCCGCCACCCCCATACCCTCCCCCACTGCTGCACCCGCAGGGGGCGGGGGGGGTAGGCAGGTGCTGCAGGTCCCCTCCCCCCACTGCCGCATCCGCACCAGGGGGATGGCAGATCCCCTCCCCCCCACTGCTGCACCCGCAGCAGGGGGAGGGAGAGGAGAAAAGGGCGGAGAGGAGGGGGGGGGGGGGTGGGGCGGCTGCTCCAGGGGCCAGGGGCCAGGGGCGGCTGCTGAGGTCCAGGAGCGGCTGCACCAGGGGCGGCTGCTCCAGGGGCGGCTGCACCAGGGGCGGCTGCTCCAGGGGCTGCTGCACCAGGGGCGGCTGCTCCAGGGGCGGCTGCACCAGGGGCGGCTGCACCAGGGGCGGCTGCTCTAGGGGCGGCTGCACCAGGGGCGGCTGCTCCAGGGGCGGCTGCACCAGGGGCGGCTGCTCCGACGCGTGGCCCCCCCCCCCCCCCCAGGTCGCCCCTCCCGTCGCCTGTTGAGGCGACCTGAGGGGGGGGGGGAGGAGTACGGGGGCCGACGCGCGGCCTCCCAGGGCGCCAGAGCAGGCGGAAGAGGGGGCGACGCGCGCTTCCCCAGGTCGCGCGCCCCCCCCCCCCCCCCGCTCGCCACGCAAGGCGACGGGAAAAGGGGGGGGGGGCGGTGCACGGGCCCCTGGTGCGCCACGACCGGCATGAGGGCGGGGCCTGGGTCGGGGCAAGTCCGGGACAGGGCCGGGACGGGGCCGAGGAAGGGATGGGGCGGGCCGCGAAGGGGCCTAACGGGCCGCGAAGGGGCCGCGACAAGCCGCGACGGGGCCTGCGACAGGGGGCCGCGACGGTGGGCCGCGACGAGGGGCCGCGACAGGGTCGGGGCCGGGGCAGGTCCGGGACGGGGCCGCGACAGGGTCGGGGCAGGTCCGGGACAGGCCGCGAAGGGGCCGCGACGAGCCTAGCGGGCCGCGAAGGGGCCGCGACGGAGGCCTAACGGGCCGCGAAAGGGGCCGCGACGGGCCTAACGGGCCGCAAAGGGGGCCGCGACGGGTCGTAAAGGGGGCCTCGAAGGGGCCTAACGGGCCACGAAGGGGGCCTAACGGGCCGCGAGGGGGCCTAACGGGCCGCGAAGGGGCCGCGACGGGGGCCTAACGGGCCGCGAAAGGGGCCGCAACGGGCCTAACGGGCCGCGAAGGGGGCCGCTAAGGGTCGTTAAGGGCAGGCGCGACGCGCGCCTCGGGTAGGAAAGAAAAATTTAGTGTAAACGTGGTGGGCCCTTAGGAAGGATCGATATTGCTCTATACCATGTGAGAATCGAGAAGGAATTGAGTGAGGAAGGATTGCACTAGAAAGCATTGGGATACATATAGCAAACCCTAACAGGGTTGTACTCACTACAGAGTACCCCACTGCAGACTAGAGAAACATAATATTCTGACACCTAGCAAGTGTAAGCATGCAGGTATATGTATAGAAATCACAGTACAAGCAGAGTCAAGAAGTAAGCAAGTGAGGCACAGTAGGTACAAGGCCTAGAACAGTACAGAAATGCTGATGATCACAAGGCTGAAGTGCCTTGGTGAAAACATCAGCAGTGTTGGCCTGAGATGCCACGTAAGCAAGACGAAGCTGACCACACTGCTGCAACTCTCGAGCAAGGAAGTAGCGCAGAGCAATGTGCTTCATTCTGTGCTCCAGTCTGTGCTCCTGAGACAAGGCAAGCATTGCCTTGTTGTTGACGTACAGAACTGGAGGAGAACGAGGCGCCTCTCCCAAGTCGGTCAGCAGGTAGGTGAGCCAGCGTAACTCCTGTGCAGCCATGGCCCCAGCGTAGATCTCAGCCTCACAACAGGAGCTGAGAACAGAAGACGAGCGGGTAGACCGCCAAGAGACAGAACCGGAGCCAAGGCTGAAGGTGTAACCCTGTGACGACCGCTGCGTAGCCAAGTCGTCAGCCCAGGAAGCGTCTGCGTGACCAGTGAGAACAACTCGAGCCCGTCCTCCAAGCACAAGCCCCATGCCTGACGTACTGCACAAGTAGCACAACACCCTCTTCGCAGCATCCCAGTGCACCTTTCGGTGCCTGGCGGGAGCCACGTAGCGAGCCAGAAGGCTAAGAGGGTATACGAGGTCAGGTCGTGTGCAAGCCATCAGGTACATGAGGCAGCCCACAAGCTCTGGATACGGGCCACTCGGCTCTACGGACTCGTCCGAAGGTGGAGCTGAGAGCGAGTGGCCGGTAGGCAGAGGAGTGGAGTGTGGCGAGGAGTACATGAAGCCGAAGCGCTGAAGGACCTGCTGCACCATGTGTGACTGAGTCAAGGTAATGGTGCACTGTGCTCTGTCCCGGGTGATCCGGAAGCCAAGATAGCTTGTCAGCTCACCCAGGTCTGTACACATGTGTCTCTTCTGCAGCTCCGACTTCACGTGGGCGAGTGCCTCAGTGTCAGCAGTAGCAAAGACCAAGTCGTCTACGTACACGAGAACGTAGAACGGCGGCAGAGTGGCGTCGGTGCGTAGAAACAGCGACGGGTCAGCAGTGGAAGGAGCAAAACCAAGAGCAGCAAGAGTCGTCCTGAGTGTGTCGTGCCACTCACGGGGTGCCTGGCGGAGACCGTAGACTGGCCGGTGGAGGCTCCACTGGGTACCAGCAGGAAACGACTCAGTGAAGCCAGGTGGGCAGCGCAGCCAGATCTCCTCGTGCAGGCTGCCCTGTAGGAAGGCTGTGCTGAAGTCAAGCGAGTGTAGCTCGTAGTCACGCTGAGCGGCGACGTGCAGCAGCACCCAAAGAGTGGTCATCTTCGGGGTAGGGGAGAAGGTCTGGAAGAAGTCAACTCCCTGTCGCTGACTGAAGCCTCGTGCAACGTAACGCGCCTTGAAGACAGGCGGAGAACCCGGCGGCCGCTTCACCCTGAAAATCCACATGCCACTGACGATGTTCGCCCCAGGTGGGGAAACCTCGTCGACGTAGGTGCCTGTGGACTTCCAGGATGCCATCTCGGCATCCGTGGCTGCCTGCCACTGAGAGGAGTAAGGACCCTCTGTCGCCTCTGCGTAAGAGCATGGGGTCGCGATGTCTGGTGCATCCGGGTCTCCCTCAGGGGCGAGCAGCATGGACACGAGATGAGGTACAGCAGCGGCAAAGCACTCAAACTCCTCCTGTCTGTCCTCAAGGACGTCCGTGCCAAGAGCAAACTCACCCCCGACGGACGGAGGACAGACAGACGCAGACTCAGACTCAGCAACAAGACTAGCGGCGTAGTCTAGACGACAGTGAGCAGCAAAGTTGACAAGCTCAGCAACTAAGGCAGACGCAGCAGTGGACTCAAAGGAAGGGTTAGTGACAACAGTGGCCAGGAGACGCGTGACAGTAGGACTAGCAGTACGAAGGGAGTAGAAAACAGGATCAGCAAGTGCAGGAAGAGAGGACGTAGGAGGAAACGGCAAAGTGACACGCTGTGGAGCAGTGGAAGGACGCAGAGTCATAGAGTGAGTGCCAGGGACAGGAGGACGACGCTGACGCGGAACACGACGACCAGTGCGAACAGGGCGAACAGGTGACTCAGGACTAGACTCAGGCAATGCAGGACGAGACTCAGGCGACGCAGGACGAGACTCAGGCTCACGACGCTTCGTAAGTCCTCTAGTCAGTCCAGAGTAAGGAGAAGGACCAGGCAGTGGAGAGGCTGGCTGTAACTGTAACTGTAACTGTGACGATGTACAGGAGGAGTAGGACCTGTAGAAGGCGGGAGACCAAGAACCTGCTGAAGGAGCGGAACGTAGTACGGCCGCGGCCGTGCAGTGTTGGTGCAACCCTACGGTTTGCATTCGGCTTGTTGTCCGTGTGCGTGCATGCGTGTGTGCATGGAATGGTATGAGGGCATGAGATAATATATATTTCATGCTTATAATAGTGTGTGAATGATGAGGCATGGTTTTTGAATGTGTGTGTCGAGTCAATAGCGAGTTATCGCTAGTCGCGTGTCACGTCGTCGTTTGCGTGTCGTGTGCGTTTTTCTATTTTGTCGTGTGTGGAACGTTCGGCGTGTCGCAGGTGTGCGCAGCAGAATTCCAAGAACTCAAGGAAGATTTTATCTTGAAGAACCAGAGCCTTGGTTTCAAGATTCAAGTGATTTCAAAGCTCTCCAAAAGGGTAAACTTTAAGATAGTGAGAATAGTTGCATTACTTTGTGTAGTGTAACATTTCTCTTGGTGTAGGCCCTTGTGGGGGGTAGTTTCGAGACCCTTCGTGGTTGGGGACAATGTGGCACTGTTCCACATCACTGTACCTGGGCTCTTGGGGTTTGTAGGAGCTGGGAGTCATTCCCAACTCGTAACTCTTCCTATCTTGTGTTCTAAGACTATAGTGGCTGCCATAGTACCGCTCGTTCAAACCGACGCTGTGTCGTCAATCATTTATCAAATCTTGCAATCTAAATTGCTTATTGTAGGCGACGTTAAGACGCTCCAGATCAAGGTTGAATTAGGTCATTTGAAGCTGTGACCAGAACGCTATCAACGTTTGAAGCCTCTCTGCAGAAATCCATCTGTGCACTCTATCTTTCGTTTTAGGCACATTCAAGCCTATTGTGACTATAACACGCAGCGCCTCCAGAAACAGCAGAGACAGCACCAGTACCCTCAGCTCCAGGGTCTCCAGCTACAACTCCCACAGCACCACGAGCTCCAGTACCTCCAACAGCTCCAGCTCCAGCAGCACCTCCTGTAGGAACAGCTCCAGCACGTACAGCTCCAACTCCTGCAGCACCACCAGCCCCAGCAGCTCAAGTACCTCCAGTACGAGCACCTCCGGGACCAGCTGCTCCAGCACCTCAAGCAGCTCCAACACTAGCAGGACCTCCAACAGTGCCAGTACCTCCAGCACCAGCACCTCCAGGACCAGCGGCTCCAGCAGCTCCAGCACCAGCAGCACCTCGAGCAGCTCCAGAAGTACCTCCAGCAGCTGCAGCACCAGTAGCACCTCCAGCAGCTCCAGCTCTAGAAGCACCTCCAGCAGCAGGCCCAGTAGCTCTAGCAGCACAGCGACAGTGCCGATCGTACCACTCACAAAGCTGCTACGGAGAGAGGGGCTCCCGCCGTGACAGGACACCCGGAGGACCTCCAGACTCAACACGCTCAGGCTCAGCACCCCCAGGCTCAGCACCCCCAGACTCAGCACCCCCAGGCTCAGTACCCTCAGGCTCAGCACCCCCAGACTCAGCACCCCAAGGCTCCACACGCTCAGGCTCAGCACCCACAGGCTCCGCACCCTCAGACTCAGCAACCCCAGGCTCAGCACCCCCAGGCCCCGCACCCGCAGGCCCAGTACCCCTAGCAGCACCAGATTCGACAGCTACCTCGACAGGCTGGACAGGGTCTACCTGGGACACACCTGAGGGGGCATGACCCTGAGGGGGGAGGGGGTCTACCGGAGGAGCACCTGGTGCTAGGAAGAGTGGCGGGGGGGGGGGGAGAGGGGCAGTGCGGTAGGGATAGAGACGGTAGTAAGATACCGACTCGTCAAACGTGACGTCCTAAGAGGACAGAACACGACGCGAGGTGGGGTGGTAAAACTGCCACCCAGGTGCGTCAGGGGGGAAGCCAAAGAAGACGCAGGGAACGGCACGGGAGGACAGCTTCTCCGCGGAAGTATCGCGGACAAAAGCTCGAGATCCCCAGACACGGAACACAGACGCATCGCCA